ATGTTGATGCAGTGTGGAATGACTAAAGAATAAATATTTCTGTTATAAAATATTGTTTAAAAAGCAACAATTCATATTTAGATTGTTTTGTAATGATTACTAAAATGTTGAAAGAATGACTCAACACAGCTGTGTAATTGTATGCAATGTTTTTTATTTGTTTCGATTCCTTAAGATGCATAAGTATATTCATAATTTGTTAGCTTTTAAGGTTTGTTTTAATATACAAGCCCATTAAAATTAAATTAATTGAATAGTTATTTGATAATTTAGGACCATTTTCTGTGTATTTTCCTTTGTAGTTGTGTTACTGGACAACAAAGATAAATCACTCAAGGGGTCTGGTGAAATAGCCAAATGTGAGTTTTGTGGTAAATTAGGACCGAAGTCCAAGTTTAAAAGGTCGAAAAGATTTTGTTCTACATCTTGTGCCAAGCGTTACAATGTAGGCTGCTCTAAACGGCTATCTCTCTTTCCATCACCTGATCAACAGCCTGTGACTGTCACAGGTAGGTTGATTAAAATATTATTATAAATTTTTCAAAAACTTGAATAACACTAACTTCAAAGGAAAATTTTGGTTTCTGTGCTTTGTTCTAGAGAGATTTTGGTAAACTAGAAACAAACTTTAAACTTAAGTTCTGGTATATTGACTGTTTTTCACATCCATAGAAAGTTTTTGGTTACACTAGTTTTCCAACTAAAGTTTTAGTTTGTTGATTCTGTTCGATAAATAGACAACTTGAATAAGATTAATCTTAAATATATATTTTTTTTTCTTCTGTTCACAGAGAGATCTTGATAAAGATTCTAACTTACTTACTTATGTTGAATTTTGAATAAGTCTCCTTGTAATGAAATTACTTGCTTTGTCTTTCACCTGTTAGGTAAAGTAATGAAGAAGAAGATTGGTTACAAAGCAAGGAAAGGATGGAGAAAATCTCAAAGTGGACGATTGTCGTACAATATCGCTGAATGGGTGAGTTTATTAACTGCCTTTATCACATGTTAAAAAAAACTGAGAGTTACTTTCTAAAGTTAGTTGTAAAATATTGACTTTAGTAGCAAAATAATGACATTAGTAGCAAAGTACTGACGTTAGCAGCAAAATAATGACATTAATAGCAAAGTACTGACATTAGTAGCAAAGTACTGACAGTTAGCAGCAAAATAATGAGGTTAGTAGCAAAATAATAACATTAGTAGGAAAGTACTGACGTTAATAGCAAAATAATGACATTAGTAGCAAAGTACTGATGTTACTAGCAAAATAATGACATTAGTAGCAAAGTACTGACGTTAGTAGCAAAATAATGACATTAGTAGCAAAGTACTGATGTTACTAGCAAAATAATGACATTAGTAGCAAAGTACTGATGTTACTAGCAAAATAATGACATTAGTAGCAAAGTACTGATATTAGTAGCAAAATAATGACATTAGTAGCAAAGTACTGATGTTACTTGCAAAATAATGACATTAGTAGCAAAGTACTGATGTTACTTGCAAAATAATGACATTAGTAGCAAAGTACTGATGTTACTAGCAAAATAATGACTTGATCGTAACTTTTCTATTTTAGATTTGAGCCTGACTATGAAAATATTGTTGCAATAACCTATATTAATGAGTGGATACTTTAGAATTATCAGGCTAGAAATATAAATGGACAAATCATTCCAATTAATAATAACAAAAACATTTTATTTTTTCAACTTCAAATTCCACAGTTAGATTAACCATCATTCACCAGCATGCCAAACTTCATTAATAAACTACATCCAACAGAAATTCTTCACATCTCTGTTTTTGTCATCAGAACACAAACCTAATAATCACAGTACTAAACTAACTAACTGGCTGACAGACAAACTGACAAAGTCATCAACAGATTACTAATTAACTAACAGACTTGTGAACACATTAGCCTAATGTTCTTTTTATACATGGTTCAGATTGTTTTTTAAACTTTAGAGAAAATTTTAGACATTGAGGCCATGCCCTTAAACTTCACTCTAAACAACAATGCAATATTTAAGAAATGTCTAGATTAATAATGTGAGCTACAACAATATGCTATAGTCAGACTAAATTTAAAAGATGTGATGATCATCACGTGGGATCTTGTCAGTGGGAGAATTCTTTTAAGGTAGATGGTTGAGAGAATCCATCTGGTGGCTTCATTCCCGGGAGATACGTTGAAAGTGATTTCAACAGGAACTTTATACCCTCGAGCAAGTTGACTTACATCTGGTGAAGTCTTCTCTGAAGTTAAACACTTGGCCATTCTCCCACCAACATACTTTGAAAGATGATGTCATTGATCTGTGGACTGGTGGAAGGTGTCAAAGTTGGTCCTCTTAACCGAGCAGCAAGATGAATAGTTTGGTTTTCACTCTACCATCCATTCATTTTGGAAATTATTTCAAACTGTACTTGATATTTATTTCTGGTGTCTTTCCATCCTAGTCTGGCGGTGTTTAAAATGAGGTTTTTGAACTGGCCTGCTATACTCCATAACTTGATGAAACAGCTGTGTAGCAGGAGCAGTCCAAGAAGGTCATGTGGTAGCACATGTTGACCAGATGGGTTCTAATATTCCATATTGCATAGTTAATTATGTTAGAGGATGAAATTATTGAGCAAATGCTGTACTCAGTGGTTTTGTAATGATCCTTCTGTACACGTGTTTTATTGATCCATTTCAAACGATTTAGCAGATACTCTTCTCTGAAAAAATCTTCTTTAATTTTACAATTTGAACTAACATTTTGAGCAATATTTTAGACAAATTTTATGCATGCTTCTCTCACAAAATGTTCACGAAGTAAACCATAATTACCAGAATGGTTCAGTTTTTATATACTGTAATTTCTCATATTTTTTTTGCTTAACTTTATGAACATTCAAACAATATCCTTTTATCCTAGCAACAGAATCAAGAATTGAACAATGCTGATCACTCAGTAATTGAAATGGAAGCAGAAAGCGAGGGATCTGGAAAAGCTGAACAAGGAACAGAAGAGAATGAAGGGGAAGAAACTACTGATACACCCTCTGGACCCGAGAGTTCTATGTCTCCCACGACTCCATCCAGTCATCGAGAAGAGATGGAAGTTGACCTGCCATACACTGCACCATTTGGAAACAAAAATCCATTAAAATGGACGGTAATAATTATCTTTATTATCAACATCATTTATAAAATCTTAGAAACTGTTGTTCGTTATTAAAACTTTGAAGACGATCAGTTCCACTATCACTTGAGAATGTATCAAATAAAAAAACTCTAATTCTAATTTTGAATGTTTGAGGAAACATTGGTTCACAAATACAGTTCAAGACTTTGAATTGAGTTTAAACATATAATTACCTGTATCACTATAAATCGTCTAAACTGTGGTTTAATCAACTCTGTGGTGGTTGACTAATAATAATTTTTGTGTTTTGTATCCTAGATCATCACCTAAGTTTAATTAGTAACTTACTAGTTTTAATTATGTTGATCAATAATTACCAGTTTTGTTGTTGTTTTTTTGTTCTTTTTTAACCGTAAATTTCAGTTGTTGTCTTTAGGTAAGTTCTGTAAAGGAATGTATGTGGTAGGAGGAGTTGGGATTTGAACCTGAATCCTCTTGTTGTCTGCTGTCCACTCATCTGGAGTGAGAGGCCAGACAAACAGAAAGGAAATCTGCCTTTTAAACCTTGGTGAGATCCGGGAAGATCTGATGGCACACTAACACAAAAACTCAAGTTTAAATCCCAGCTCTTTCTACCATATAACACTATACCACTGAAAATGAACGCAAATTAGCAGCCAAAGCATGGGATAAATAGTAACTGGTAATTATAAATTAAATAAAAAGTTAGTAACAAATTAATATTTAAATCTAGTTTATCATATAGACTGCTAACCACAACAAGGGTAAATAAATAGAATATTCTGTATTAAAATATTGACTCATCTGGGCCGGAAGATTAATGAAACTAAACATTAAGTTTAGTTCTGGTTAACCCTATTGCGACAGGTCACGTGTCAAAGGCCATGTCATGTCATTTGTTGACTTACATTGAACATTTTATTGAACTACTATTTTATGAATTTATGTCAATAAGTTTGGTATCAAATTGTAGATTATAATTCAGATTTTGCTATTATACTTTAGTTAAATTCTTAATTAAAAAGTAAATATTAAAAGAACACAGCTAAACATTGATTTTTGTGTGTCATGTGGTATGTTGAATGCAACACTGGTTCAAATTACATGTTTGTGATGTCAAAATACAAAGTCTATAGTTTTGTACAAATTAGGAACTCAAACTACCAATACTGACAAGCTAAAATATAAAATAAGAACCTCTTATCTTTTCTATATGCTAAGTTATTACTCATGTACTGAATCAAACACAGTACCCACCTCTCAGCCATTTTGACATGTTATTATGTTAATATCGTTCTTTTCACACATTATTTCAAATTATAAGGTAAGTCTTTAGTGAGCTTGAAATTTCCAATTTTTCTAGACCCAAATACAGCTGTTACTACCCTTGATAAATTATAGTGGAATTTTATGGTAACGATATGGTAATTTCTTATTTTTTGTTTATTTAAAATGTAAATATAGAGCATGAAAAAAATTACTTTCACACCCTCTATGTGGGAAATTTCATAAGGCTTAGCAACCTACGACAAACAGCAAACGAGTACAAAGGTCGTAACTAGAAGAGATAATTGCTTGCTTTACTTCTTTATTTACTGTTCTGTGTTTTAAGAAAAGTAAGTTTAAGAACTTATTTGTAAATAGTATCAATGTATATACATACATAATGTATAATAATTGAAATGTGGCTGTATTTTACAAAATACTAGTCCACTGAAACACATCCAAGACAGGTCATTTCGTAAAGACTAAAGGTTAGTTTTATATTATTTGATACAGTATCATGAGTGCACACGCACCGCATCATTGTAATGTCTGTATTGTTAGCTAGACACGGCTGGAAGGCCAATATAATAAAAATAATAAATATATATATAAGTGCATAATGCTATGAGATTTAAGCTATTTAGTCTAGACATTTGTGTTTTCATGTTATAATATGTAGTCATTCTAGAACGAAAAAAGCATAATTTAAATTTATTTCCTAATTTTTTATTGTGGTTACGAGGCCGGTCAAATTGACAGACCCCATTGTTAGGGTAGAGAAAATAACAGAAAAAATATGAAGTTTAACTTAAAACAGACATTTGAAATGTATATAGGAGGTTTTCAAGATTACACAAATAATATTTGAGATTTTTGGGACGAACAATAGTTTCTTCGTTATAACAAAAAAATAACTTCGCACTTGGACTGGTAATGAAACAGACTCAATATTTTAACAAACAAATCTATAATAAAAATACGTCATTAAAATATCTGATTTTGTGTATACGAAAGACTCGTAACCTTTACTAAAAGTCTAATAAATTTTGTGAAGATACACTTACTGCATTAAATGTTATAGTATAAATACTTAACTCGTGTATATTATACTGAGCCCATTGCGAATGGGTTAATAGTCCATAATGGCAAGAAATATTCAAACTTTAAAAGAGTTTGTTCATTAGAAGCAACGAATAAAATATCACACTTGTCTAATAGAACAATGGAATCACATTCATCTTGAGAAAAAGTCTTAACGGAACTTTGTCTTTTCTGTCTACTTAAGCTGGAACTGATAATTGATGTTTCTAATGATTAATGAAAGATTGAATAAATTCAAAGTGTCTTATTGCTGAAAGTATTAACTTATGTTTCTCATGGTTAACAGGAATATACATTTAAAAACGTTTTATTGTTGGAAATATTCACTATTGTTTGTCATAATTAACAGAAGGATACTTTGAAAAATGTCTTATTGTTGAAAGTGTTTATTATGGCATATAGAAAAGTACTATATACTATAGTAAATAGTTTTTCTAGATTTAGCGTAGAATGTTATTAAGGTCAAAATTACATATTCGTAATAAAAGGGGCAGTAAAGTTTGTTACACACACACACACTTCAATTTCTTTTTTGCACAAAAATGTTCAAACAACTCAATAAACATTTTTAGGCATTGTGAAACTACTTAGCAGAGTTAAGTGTACGTTTGTTTGTACTAAATATTTTATGATTGAAATTTATTTGACAGATCTTTTTCTTCTCAAGTTAATTTTTTGAAAACTAAGCATCAGTTTATGAAGCTCATAGTTATAGTTTTTTTTGGCATCGTAGGTTCAGGAGGTGTTTGACTTTGTCAATGGACTTCCAGGATGCTCAGACTATGCTGAGGAATTCCGCTCTCAAGAGATTGATGGTCAGGCTCTGATGTTGCTGAAAGAGGATCATCTCATGTCAGCAATGAACATGAAACTTGGTCCAGCCTTGAAAATATGCTCTCACATTACCAGTTTAAAAGATGAAAACAACACTTAGTGCTGTGTGTTCTTAATAATACAAAGCATACTGATTTATGCTATCCTTAAAAGCTGACAGTGTGACAGATAACAAGCTTGTTGTTTGCTGGGTCTTCACTTAATTTTCTACATCACCACTTAGAATGAAGAACTCAAAGTATTTTGTGTGAAATCTCTTTCATCCTTATTGTCTCGCCTATCTGAAAAAGCAAAGTTGAAGAAAAAAAATGTATATATATATATATATTTATGTAAGTACTCTTGCTCTGTTTGTGGTTACGTTAACCATACCTCATCTGGTAATTCCAAGATCATCATGGCATTTTTTGATTAACATCCTTCGAAGCTGCAGTTACGTAAGCGGATTCTATCTAAATGCAATTAAATGTTTTCTATGAAATTGTTTTGTAATTATTACAAATTACAAAGAGTACAAACTATAAGATTTGTATACAAGTAAGTGTTAACAAAACATCAACAATAAAACAGGCATCACCATCAATTTGTGTAAAAACTACAAAATATGATATCACTGTGAATGTGACTTATCGTTTGTTACTAGTGTTCATCTGTAAAATGACACTGAAAAGCTTCCGTCTAAGTATAGCTATCACAGAAATGTTAAAGTTAATATTTAATGTGTTGCTGTAATAATTATGGAAACTAACCATAACTTTGGAATTTTTATTTTAACTGTAAAAATTTTTATCTGTATACTTTTGTTATTGCATGCTTTACCACAACATCACTGCCAAAATTAGCTGTTTGTAATGTTTCCATGCACACAGTTGAAACTCACTTATTGTATCATTTTATCAAAACTTTTATCTTTTTTTTTTTATAAGGCGTACTTGAATGTTTTAAAAAGAGATTCTTCAAGAAACAAAGTTTTTAGTGGCTTTTAAAGTGACCTATATGTATTTCAGTGTAATGGATTGTTCTGTGGTTACAGTCTCTGAATAAAACATTTTTTACACCCTTCCAGTGTTACGGTTATTTTATTATCTATCTCTAGACTGTTTATCAACATAGGTTTGTTAACAGTAGAATGAACGCTGCAATCATTGATGTTCACAGAAAAACAAGAGGGAATCCTCAATAGCCATGGCACTTGAAATTCTTTTAGGCAGGATTAGAGTAAATTAATCTAGGAACTTTTTTTCCCCCCTTTTTATTAGCTATATTTTTGTGTGCGAGTATACCCAATTCGATTTTATTACTCATCAGGGTCTCTACCAGCCTACCCTCAAATTGAAATTCTTTTAGACAGAATTAGAGTAAATTAATCTATGAGACATTGAGCATGGTAATACAAAAATCAAAAGGGTTTGACCTCCGGAGTCTAAAACTGTAGTTATAAAAAAAAAAAACATCTCAAATAGGTCAATAGATGACAGAGCTATGAGATAATAGTTTGTACTTGATAAAAAAAACTCGGAGCTGATCTATGAACTGCGGCAAAAAAATCCCACCTCTTGCTACATGGACAACAGAATTGTATTTAAAAATAATTTGATGATTCAGTTATCCAAGTTTATCTAACAAATAAATATGTTAATCTTATCCATTCCTTCTTTTATTTTTATTTAATTAAGATGGGTGATAAAGATGTGAAACATAGTATTGAGTGAGATGTTTTTATATTGAAAAAGGTAACAGTAAATTCACTGAATATGCAAGTACGTAAACCCTGTAAATCAATCTTCTTTGATTTAAAGGCCTGGTAGTTAAGGTGCTCGACTCGCAACCTGAGGGTCATGGCTTCAAATCTTCATCACCTAACGTACTTGCCCTTTCAGCCATGGGGGTGTTATAATGTGATGGTCAATCCCACTATTAATTAGTAAAAGAGTATCCTAAGAGTTAGTGGTGGGTGGTGTCAATTTGCTGCCTTCCCTCTAGTCTATAACAGGTAAATTAGGGACAGATCGCCCTCTGTAGCTTTGTGCAAAGTTCAAAATAAACCAAACCTTTAGTTTAAAAACAACAACATTCTGTTGAATCTTTTGTTCACGACATAACTTAGTACACAGAATTGAGTGGGGATTTAAATATAGCCAATTTTGAATGTTCAAATGTAATAAGATAAACTTATAAAGAGGGCAAGACTGTTAATTCAGTGTCTACTACTATAATTTTACATTGAATTATTAATACTTATATAAATTTTAGACATGCAATGACTGATCTAGTATTATCTAGCCAAAATAACTTTGAATTAAACACTTCAAGTTATCAACATTTATTCTCTGACAAAAATGTAGTTTGATTTTCTAACATGAAAATATTTAATAAACAGAAAATACTTCAAAATATATTCAGATTCAAGGGAAGTTTGAATTAGTTACTATTAAAAAAAAGTAATTTTAATTATTTGTAGCAAATGTCATGGTTCCATTTTCACACAGTGTAAAATACCATTAATGAATGGGCAATGTCTTATAAGAATATTCTCCATTCAAGTGTTTTAAAAATAGGTAACTATACATGGTTTGCAGGCTCAGAAGTTCAAGGAAAAAGTGGTGTCATTAATCAGTCTTCAAATTCACGTGCATGGTTTGCTTTAATGTTACAGGCATTTGTTTTTAACCCAGGATGCAGAAACAGCAAATAAAGTGCAAAAAGTACAAAAATGGAGTATCAGAACTCTGTTGTCAAGAAAATGAACTACCAACTTTCTTAGTGAAGTTCACTGTGTGAGGAAATGATACCTAGTGAAAAGACTGACCAATCATATAAACAAAGAATATTTGAATATTAAACAAATTTACAAAAAACTTGAAGAATGTAATCATAATGACTTTCCAACCACATACTTGCCGTTACGAATTTTATAGGAACACAATAAATTTTTATGGCATGTTAAAGTTGTACATTTAACGGAGTACTAAGAAACTATGAACAACCTTTTTTAAAAAACATTTATCAGTACAATGCGTGTGTGGTTGTAACAGTGCCCTTGTTTGTGATAATTTCTTGTGAAATAGTTCTCGTTAATAAGTACAAAAACTTAAGGAAAGTTAGAACTTTTGTAATGTACTACATACTTTACTGAATGACAAACAAATGTAGCCTAAAGAATGATAGTCTGAAAATACAGTAAAGTTTTTAACTTCCTGTGAGATAGTTAAAAAAGTTAAATTGGACAACACTTAAACTATAAGCAGAGTCCTGAAAGACATCTCTGTCAAATTGACATGTAGGTTACTCAATAACAATTAAATATATCTTGAAAATGCCCCCCGAGTCGCTCAGTGGTGAGTCTGAAAGCTTGCAACGCTAAAAATCGGGTTTCGATATCCGTATTTTGGCACAGCACAGATAACTTATTGTGTAGCTATGTGAGTAACAACTACCAAAACAAACTCATCTTGGAGGATTAAAATATAAACAATGTATTTATATTTAAGTAGGGTAACTTTTTTATTTAGTTCTGTAATTTCAAGGTCGAGTAGTTCTATAGACTTACAGAGATGCTAGTTGGTTGTTAAATAGAAAAAAGAAAGAAATTCCTCATCCAAGTATATTGTAAATATGTTTATGTATTACATGATAAAAGTCTTAACCTTAGAAGATAAATACATTCCTAGGGTCATGATAAAGTTCGATCATTTTAACTAAATGGTGGATACAGCACAGAGGGGCCTTTGTACAGCTTTGTGCTTAACTACAAACAAAGAAAAATTAGTTATTTTCATGTTCATAACATTTATAGAATAACTATTGATAGTGTATATTGCATGTCTACAAAATTTTCAAATCACTCTAATTCAGGTCTAGAATTAGCTAAATCCGGTTATTTTTGTAGAAGATCTGGTCAAGAATCTTATCTACTGTTTCGTAGGATAATTTTATTGTTGTAGTACTTCCAGATCAACTGTTTTCCATATCAGATTCGGTGAAAGTTTCAAATAACGAGAGATTCTACAGAAAATGTTTTGCAGAGTTAAACTGATTTATCTTGATTTTACTTAATACTCAAACACAATAAAAAAGACAGGCGTGTACATTAAGGACGACATCTTTACTAGAGCTTCCATAAATCTGCAGATCTCTGAAGGCCTATTTCAGACTGAGAAAACATGTCATTATATATTCAGCTCTAATATGCTATTCTTCTCAAGACACACTCACTACCTACGTCACTATTGATCATTCTCATTGAAAAACAAGAGAGACTGTTATCTCAAGGTATCACCTGACCTGCCACTGTAAAAGATTGCTGCCTGCTTTTACATACTATGCTCTACTTTACAGATTTTTCCTACCAGAAAGAGCACGCGATACCACAAGCGCTTCTGGATGATCCATACGTACATATGTAGGGTAAAATGAACTTAGCCACCAAAGACCAAAGTTCTACTCATACGTTAATTATACATAAAAATGTTTAAAATTTCTGGTGAATTTCAGTAAGAGGTAGAAAATACCTAGTAGGTTTCCAATTTCCATTGTATCCTACTTCGTCTTCTGTATAGAGGACGACCTTGCAAATGCCACAAGGGTTCTCTTGATCCAATATCTTGATTGGTAAGTTACAAAGATAAAATACTTTGTGATTGTAAATACAACACTTTCAAGCCAAACTGAGGACAGAATATTTTAGTTTTCTACTTGAATGAGCCACAGTCTGCTGTGAAAATTTTTTCTTTGTTTCCATTTTTTTTTTTTTATCAATCTGCTGTGAAAATTTTTTCTTTGTTTCCATTTTTTTTTTTTATCAATTTGTTGATCCTGAATGTTATATTAATTTAAAGTTATTTAAATACAGTTTAATTTTAATTATCTGTAGTTTATTCGTATTGCTGTAATTTGTTCTATCATTTATGTCGCCAGTTAAGTTCTTGGTGAAAATAATGTGAAGTACAGTCCACTGGCAATTGTAAATTGGTTTATTTCGTATTTTCTATTACATTTTTTACAGCCACATGTACTTGTAAGTAGTAGCTCGCCTCAATTATAAAAGTTTCAATATAGATTGCAAGCTGTAGGCCTAACCTAACTTACTAAATAATTTTGTTAAATTATGAAATACGTAAATTACCAAGAAACTAAATAACAGAGCAAATAAATAAAATTTTGTTTATGGATAAAACTAAAATTTGTTTTTAAAAACGTATTGCTTGTTTTACCGGTAAGCAAAACTTCAACTTTCATGTTACAAGTTATTTTAATTCAGAGCAAATAATTATTCATTAAATATTTCACTTTGATTGCTGGCACATCTGAACTATTTAGGATTAATTAATTCTCATTCATTATTCACTATCCCTTATCTAACTTTCTAGTCGTATTTATATCCGTATCCTCGTGTTTCGATATTTTGAAAGTATCTTGATTGTTACATCATCATTACGATAGGAACCTCCTTCTGAAAATACAGCTTATTACAGTATACAGTTTTCATTCATTTCGTTCGTTTTTAATTTATTTTACTTCACAAAGCCACAAATACGATCATTCAGTCCCCCTGTGGGACAGTGGTAAGTCTACAGACTTACAACGCTAAAATCCGGGGTTCAATTCCCCGCGATGGAGACAAAAGATAGTCTAATGTGGCTTTGCCTCTCCTTCAAATAGTGTTTTATTTTCATATTCGTTTTGTCTCCTTCAATTCGCCTGTGGTAAATTTCTACACTCATCCTTCTGCATATTAGATCTTCGAACCTCTAGTTTTTGTGGAGATTAAATAACGGTGAGCTAGATTCAACTTTGAGATTACCACATTTTTAGCCCGTTAAAAACGTTTTACATTTTGTACCACAGTACTGAATTTTAGGTTATATACCATTCAAATGTTTTATCAATTATATCCATTTAACACAATTAATATTAAAACTTGAAGTGTTTGTTTGTGTGCTTTATAGCAAAGCTGTGTCTACCGCGGGGAATTGAAAATTTGATTTTAGTGTTTTAAATCTGTAAACTTACCGTTGACCCACCGGGGATCTTGAAAAGTAGAATAAAACACCACAATGTTACATTACAAACATATATAGGGCCCGGTACGGCCTAGTGACTAGGAAGCTCGATTTGTAATCTGCGTATTGTGGGTTCGAGTCTCGTCACCGAACATGTTAGGACTTTTAGCAGTGGAGGAGTTATAATGTAACGGTCAATCCCAGTAATCAGTCTTCGAAAATCATATATTTCTAAGAGCTTATGATTGAAGTTAAAGAAGAATGTGTAATCATATGTTAATCATACTATACCTGTTATATCCAGTGCCGACGACGCTTTTCGCCACTATCAAGTCTCATCAAACCGACTGGAATCTTATAATTCATGTATGTTTTTACTGGAAGTATGTGTCTGAGAAATGTTTACATGTGGTTTGTCATTATTCGAATATACGTTTTACTATTTATTTTAATTTTAACTTTTTTAAATTTTCTTATTAATTTATTATCCACTAATCCATCATTGTAAAAAAAACAACAGCAACAAAATATTATTTTAATATTTATAGGGAATTTTAGTTAAAATCGGGTTCAAAGGTGGCGATATTATCGGCCGGTTGAGGATTGGATGTATCTTGAAAGTGTTCTTAAGATATTCTCTTTTAACAATTCATATTTGGTAATAGTAATATGAATTTAAAGTGTTAATTATAACTTATGTGTATCTTAGTTAGCTTTTCAATATATATTTCCCAAACAAGTATCTTTTTAATTTAAGGAATGACTTCTCAAGGTTTTCTTCTGGGTCGATTTGGGTAAGTCAGTAACCAAGTTAAAGTTTAAACTAAAGTAGTGTGCTTTTGCAAATTGCATTTTCAGGTTAACTTGTACTTTATAGTTTTATTTAGACTTTTTAACTTTTAAAATTAACAGTTATACACTAGCGTTAAATTGAAGTTTTGCATCATTTCTTCATGGCTTGCATACTTCTGACTTTGTAACTTTTAGGTTAGTTGTATAGTTTAATGAGTATAACGTTAAGTCAAAATGTATTTGGTCTGTAAGTTATACTTTTTGTGTGCAGAAAATATCTAATCTAGTAACATTGATAAGGACATGCCACTATGAATTGTCATTGTACAATAAACAATTTGTTTTTCATCTCACAACTTTAATACAAGAATGCAACAGTGATATTTCATTACAATACCTTTCAAAGATAGAATGATTTTATTTAATAGGTTTTTGCTTCTATGTTTTAATTTTAAAATTCATACAAAACTGTTTATTAATTTTCTGTTTTTTTACATTGTACTTTCATTATAATGCAAAAAAAAAATCACATCTACACCAGTGTTTCTTAATTAATTTGTATCGGACATTTATAGGAACACTTTAGATGCTTTAGATAAACATAAGAGATATGGAGTGTAATTTTTGCACTACTTCTTAGCCTGATAAAGTCTTCTAAATTAACTTGCCCTCAGTTCCTTAGTATTTACTTTTGGGTACAGTATGTTTTCTTAAATCATTCATTTGCTGTAGCACTAAATAATAATTTCACAATTTTGTAAGTTTCATCATATCTGCTAGACATGAAACATGTTGGTATTTGAATGGAATTTAGTATAAATGGTATAATTACCCCAACTGAAAATAATATAAGAGTAAATGTTATATTTGGATAAACTAAAAATTCATGCAGGTTTCAAAATGTTATATTTCGGTACTTAGCTCTTCTGTAACCAATAAACTGTGTACAGTGGGTAGGTTCTTAGAAAGGTCTTTGTTTTGAAATGCTGAAGAACTGTTGTGAAATACTTTAGATGTACATACTTTTTACTGATTAAAACTCAGGAGTTTCATTAGTTGTTTGTAATTATAAAAACAAATTATTTTTTGATTGTCTTGGTTTTTCAGGTGTGATGTGAGATCATTACCAACTTCCAAGTTGTATAAAACATTAGATCAGTTCCCCACAAGAAACTCGTTGAAAATAAAGAGGATGGTGGTGTCAAAAAATTATTTTCGCTACTATTCAAATTTGCAGATTTTCTCTCTTCCAAAAAATCATCAACACCTTCTTGTAGCTGAAAAGATAGGTGGATTCAGCAATCAGCAACATGTTCGAAATTTTGGACTAGTAGCCAGAGTAATCAGAGGAGCACTGAAAATACGATATATAATCCTTGGGGGAGCTGTTGGAGGAAGTGTTCAAATGTCTCGTGTAAGTACTTTATCAGAGTTCAAGTATTTCAAACCATTACATTGTCAGAAGAGATTAAATTGTGTTGATCTAATTTGAGGAATAGTTAAGGAATATTAATTAATTTTTTAACCATTTTGTTTACCTTATAATCATTACAACATGTACAGTGTAAT